ACACGCTGCTCTGAGATGTATTTAAAAAGTGATCCATATCAAAATCAGTAGTAGACCATTCATCACATGCATCAATGTTCTGAGACATGTTTAAAAATTGATCTGGATCAAAACATAGTTCTCGTTGATTATCCTCAGATACATCACTGTTCTGAGGAGAACTCAAAAACACATTCAGATCAAAAGATGGTTCTGGCTGATTATCGGACATGGATTGAACTGAATTTAATAGTTCTATTAACGCATCAGTCGTAGATCTAGGTCTATCCATATCCTCAACCGTTTGAATTAAATGACGCAATGTTTCTGTAGTGTTTTGTTGGTTGTGGTGACCATCATTACTATCTCCTCTAAATCTCACTGTACGATATTGTTCATTACCATCTGAATCCAGACAACGTTTTGTGGCCATTTTAACACAAATTTATTTACGGTAGTTAAAAAAAAAAAAAATACCAATAGTTGTACAATAAGTAAATCAGTTACAAAAACTAATCATTCAAATCAATTACTAAAAATCTAAGTATATAGAAACCCTAAAATGAGCGTCTAAAACATAATACTACACATAAGACATATTGTAGAAAAAAGACATGCGATTTAAAAGAAAAAAAAACAACTTACCGAGATTGTTGTTTGCGTGTGTTGACCAGCAATGTCAATAATTGAACAGTCAATTTATTATCATTCATTAATATCTGTTGATCATTCATTATTTTCTGTTGATTGTACATTATTTTCTGATGATTAGCCATACATCGTCGAACTAAGGCCGCATGTTCCTTTGCATCAATTTTTAACTGCTTTAAATCCTTTGTAGCAGTTGCGATGAAAAGCTCGATGGTCCGTTTATCTCTCTGTTGCTGCGATGCAATATTGTTCAATCCATTTGATAGCTGTAAAAGAAGCTCCTTGTACTTCAGAATGTCATTTGTGGCAACTTTTGCATACGTGTTTGATTGATCCACAACTGGCACCGGTTTTGTGTTTTGCTTGTTTTTGTAAGCCTCCTGGTTGGATGGTAGTGTATCAGAATCCGAATCTTGCACGGTGGTGGCAGCGTGAACCGGGATCTCGTTTGAGAACTCAGAAGCATTCCAAACATTCACCATATCGTCGTTCCATTTTTCAACATCGTCCTGACTCGAAACAACATTTGGGTCGGTCTGGCCTGTGTGTGTGAATAATGCTAATGAGTAAACATATCAACCAGATGTACATTTTTTTTTTTTCTATATCATTAAATAGAGATAACATACCTTGTGATTTTCTTGGTCGTTTTGGTTCAGGTGTATTTGGTATAACGCTTATTTCGTCAGATGTAGCATCCACATGAACCTGTGCTGTAGTGGTGACTACTTTCTGCTTTACACCACCGACACGACGGTCTCTCGGCACAATATTCCTTTTACGTCCTAAAATAAATGGAGGGTATGATTATTAATATTATTTTGGTAATAATAAATATAACAATGACTGATCTAACAATACATACTGCTCGTTCCTGCACGTGTACTTGTTGTGTAGACCTCTAGTAGACCGGTAGACCGTTTGTCGTCGACACGGCTGACGATTTCACTCATAGACGCTATAGTTAAAACAAACACAATACAAGATTTTTTTTTTTCATTATTATTTAACACATGTGGAAAAATAAACAAGAAAAAAAAAAGTTTTTAAAAATTACCTAGTGGTAATGTGTTTTCATGAATACTCGTCAGGGGTGACGACACATTTATACACGCTAGTAAAAAAAAAAAAGACAAGATTTTTTAGTGGATGTAGAAAACATGAAAATAGACAAAAAAAAAAAAAAAAAAAAGTTTTGCTAAAGAAATACCTGATGGTGCGTCTTCATGAACTGTCCGAGGTGCAGACGACTCGTTAATACACTCTAGTAAAAAAAGAGACAGACTAATTTAGCGTGTACGCCTATAGAAACATAAAACAGACAAAAAAATAAATAAAACGTGAAAAGCACATTTTACCTTGTGAGCTACGATTTTCAGCAAGATTTTTAAACTCTAATGGTGACAATAAAAGAAGAAAATTATGACATATCCCATCACACAATACTGTAATGTATAAATAAAAACATGTCATATATATATATATATATATACATATAACAAACCAAAAAAACATACCGTCAGTATTCAGCGCTAAAATCTCAGCCCATATCGCCTGAAGTCCTGGTGTCTGCAGAGAGAGGGGCAGTTCGCCTTTTAAGCGATGTCTGATTTAATAATCATGTATAATATTAAAAAAAACGATTGCTTTAAACAACAGTATTTTGAATATTTCTTATATATAAACTTACCATTAGAGGTTCCTGCCATTTTTATTTCCGGAACAGTTTATTTTTTTCCCCCAAAAAAATTGAAAGCCGAAGTCTTTTCAACTACGTTGGTTTTCCGAAATACTGTGATTTTACTCTTAGGGACGAGGGCTTAGTGTCTTGTAAAATGATGTGTGAAAAAAGTGGGCGTGTGTTGATAGTCCACACCTCCAATGTAAAACACACATTGTACTGGTGTAAAAAAACAAAACAATTTTAATATACGAGTAAAAGTATATATTGCTCAAATAATGAAATAAATTAAGATATATTAAATAATACACATCTTTTCTTTTAGCCAGTATATCGATTTTTAAAACATCTGATTGAAGATCTGCTTTTGTGTATGTGTAAGACAATTAAGCATACAATGAATATTATACATTATTTATTTCACGCATTTATACATACACATTTTTATTTTTTTTTGTGAATATAAAATATTTGGATTTTTCTGCACTTTTCATTGTTTCTTTTTTAAAACATCCTTTTAAAAATAATTTTGTTGTTGTTGTTTTTTACCACAACACATGGCTCCGATGTGAATTAAAGTACCACAGACTACGTCACAGCAGGAATAAACGAGATAAGGAGAGAAGCTTTTTTCTGGGGGTACAGATGTCTACATAGCCACCATTCCCAAACAGTAGGACGGCAGATAGCACGACGACCAGGGTAGTTAGATAAAACCAGAACTTTTTAAGATCAAACAAAGTTTTCAAAGTAAGACCAAAATCAAAGGATCCTCAGTCAGCGGTATACGATCGATTGCCCGATTACACCCCAACAACCTGAAACCCCCCTACATACACTCACAGATTGGAAGGAGCTGGAATGCCAGAAGAGCTGCATAGGTTGTAAAAATGACAAACCATACACATTGCCACAAATCTAACTATACTGTAAATCTTTGCCAAAATCAGCCCGACACTTGGTTCAACTGTCAATTTGGGACAAACCGTCATAAATCCTACCACTAAGCAGGGACCCTAAGCCTGTGACCTGGGGAAAGCAGCCTGTCATTGGTCACCAGTCTTACATTCATGAAACACATTGGACAAACCATGCCATAAATTATTACCATACCGTCCAAAACATACTCATAAATTATTGACATAAGGCAATAAATCATCTTGACACTGTGTGTATTATAAGACTACTATTATGACTCCCATTATTTTAGCAAAGCATCATGGGACATATGCGCATACTCCCATCTCAGCTCCTCTTCAGCATCTGCACGGCTCGGGAAAAAAATCCAATAATGGAGTGTTTGAGTGGAAGGAAATGGCTGAGCTTAATTACGCTGGATTGGTTTAAGTGTGGCCTTCCCTTCAGAAGGTTTCTCTTTGATCCGTGGCGCAGGGTTGAGGACAGCATGCCATTTTACTCTCTATTTTAGGGGCTTATTTGGGGAAAGATGGACTCCAGAGGGCCTCTGCTGAAATAACTGGCACTCACAGCCACTTGAGGAGGACCTGGAGGAGAGCGGCGTAATTCACATCACGCTGAGGATTTTGTCGTGTGTGGATGAGCCTGCAGATGCCACACACACACATATACACACAGAGCAAAGTGTGTTTGTGTGTGCTTTAGAAGAAGCAGTAATTAGCAGTGTTCTGTGTTTGCCAAACACAAATGTGCACAAGACAGCAGAGCCCACGGTGTTCCCACAATGCAAAGTGTGCAACGTTTATTTCCATTCAGATGAATAAAACATAAGTAATCTCAATAACATAAATTGGAGTCAGGTGACCGGCTGGGCCATTCTACAGCTTGATTTTCTTTCTCTGAAAGCATCTGAGAGTCTCCTTGGCTGTGTTTTGGATCAGTGTCTTGCTAAAATGTCCACCCTGGCTTCATCTTCATCCTCCTGCTCATGTAGATGTTGGACTGAAGCAGCTGTGTTCATTTACACTGAGGAAGGGCAGAGAGTTGCGGAAGAACTACTGAGAGATTTCAGCTCCTGTCTTTGCTTTCACTGCCGACATACACCTTCCTTTCTTCATAGGTTCAAATACTTTTTTCTTGCGTCATTTCATTTTATTACAAATAACTTAATTTGTAAACTAATTAGTTTAATTTTCTTTGCATATATGGATTTCTTTGGTTGTTACCAACATCCAGGGATAATTTCAAGTCAACGGCACCTTTAGAAATATGTTTTCTGATAAAATTGGTGACGTGTTTAATATAAACTACAAAGATGAAAAAAAAATATGCAAAAACTCATTTGGCACTAGTTCTGGGATGCACGTGTTAATGGTAAAAATAAAATAAAGTAAAATAAAAGGAAATAAAACAAAAATCAAATAATAAAAATAAATAATAAAATAAAAAAATAAAAAAATAAATAAATAAAATTAAATTAAATAAAATTAAAGAAAAAAAAGGAAAGGAAAGAAAAATAAAATAAAAAGAAATAAACCAAAAATGAAATACAAAATAAAAATGAAATGAAATGAAAATGTAAGAAAAGAAAACAAAAAAAGAAAACAAAACAAAAGTAAATAAAACAGAAATGAAATACAAAATAAAAAATGAAATGAAATGAAAGAAATGAAAAGAAAAAGAAAAGGAAAAAAATAAATAAAAATGAAATAAAATAAAATATAATAAAATGAAATGAAATAAAAATTTCATTGAATTAAATGAAAATCAATAAATCTATACACAATTTTAATAACTAAATAAATAAAGCGGTCTAACCAACAAAACAAATAACTACATTAAATAACTCAAAAAATAACTAAATACATGAACAACTAAATAACTTACAGCATAAATGATTAATTATCCAAAACAATACCCATTTTAGACTTAACTAACATAAAGACAAAATAGTAAAGTAAAAAGCTAAAGTAAATAAACTAAAAGTAAAAACTAAATAAAAAAACAACAAAAAAAAACACATAATTAAATGTCTAAAAATAAAATGAAGTAAACTAATTAAATAAAACCAAAAAAACTACTAATAAAAATATATAAATAAAACATGGCTATATCTAAAATCAATAAAACACACAACTTTAATCACTAAACATATAAACCATAGTCTAACCAACTAAACGAATAACTAACATAACTAACTCAAAAATAACTAAATAAATGTATGACTAAATAATTAAACGAATAAATAACCGAATAATTAAACAGTTAATTAACATAATAAATAAATAAACAGTTAATTAACAAAGTGGCAGTACATTCTGCTGTGGCAACCCTTGGTAAATAAGGGACTAAGCTGAAGGAAAATTATTGAATAATAATTATCATAGGGAAAATTATTAAGCAAATAGATAAAACAACTAAGTTGATCAGCTTAATAACTAAGAACTAAATAAATCACAAATTAAAATAAATTAAAACTCATAACTAAATATTCATTCATTCATTTTCCTTCAGCTTAATCCCCCTTTTTCATCAGGAGTCGCCACAGTGGAATGAACCGCCAACTTATCCAGCATAAGTTTTACACGGCGGAAGCCCTTCCAGCTGCAACTCAGTAAAGGGAAACACTCATACACTCTGGCCAATTTAGTTAATCCAATTCCCCTGAGCACAAGGAGGAAACCCACGCCAACACGGGGAGAACATGCAAACTCCACACAGAAAAATGCCAAATGGTCCAACCTGGACTCGAACCAGTGATCTTCTTGCTGTGAGGCGACATTGCTAAGCACTGAGCCACATTTTCACCCATAACTAAATATCTGAAAATAAAATTTGGTAAAAATAAATATACATTCTAAGTGACTAAAACTAATTACACTGCATTCTGGGATTGCCTCGTCTTATCACCGTTTTGAACAAGCGTTCACAGTTAAAATATGTCAAAACTGTGTTAATATATTTACAAAGACTATCACGCGTACACAAAAGATCATAAGTCCATAGAACAGAGCAATTAGCTTCTCATGTTATTCAAGAATCCACAGAGACAGATTTTTCTTACAGCGAAGCCAACATAGCCTTCAGAACGTCCCAGAGCAGCTGGTGAGCGCTCGGGATCCCGCATTCATTCACGCTTTCGCTCTCGATCTCCCCGTCCCACCATCTGATGTCAGCTGTCAACAGTAAACACTCCCATCAGCCCTTACTGGAGCCAAAGAGACTGAACACACAACACAAAAACACAGCTTCATCCAATCATACACACTGACGGCATGTCTAATTAGCTTTAAGAGCCTAATAATGTCGTATGGGACACAATAATGTGGATACTACAGTATAGGCATGGGCCAGTATGACGGTCTGACGATATGATAACCTTGCATAAATATGGAGCTAATAATATGCCAGAAAGATCTGAATTTTAATTGTGTTCATTTGAATTATTGACAATTGCAATTTAATAAATCTGAATTTTTATATGTCGTTGAAAGGAATTTCTTTTTGAGTTTCTTAATCTGAATTTGAATTTCATAACTTGAATACTGAACATCTAAAATTTAAGACAACTGAATTTTTCAAGGCTGAATTTTTTATAGATGTATTTTCAAACTTTTTGTTTTCTGAATTCACATATTTTAAAATTACGCCTTACGGATTGTGTAGTTTCAACTCATTTTAAATAAATAGTTCGAACAAGCAACAAAAGTAATTTTTAGAGTGTGATTATGCATTTATCTTCTAAGGGTGTCACGATCCTCCAAATCCTCGATTCGATTACATTTTCGATTCTAAAGTCACGATTCGATTCGATTTTCGATTATGAATAATTAATTAATTAATGACCAATTAAATATTTGTAGCCTACCGTTTAAACTACCTGACCTGCATGGTCTTTGTTTTACCCATAAACAAATCATACAGTAAATGAATAAAGGCAAGTCACACACATAATTACCACCTGTCAATCACTTTTTCTGCGGGACTCGTGAATAGGCAGTGATCTGTGTCGTTATAATGGTGTCGGTAAAAAAGACGCACAACCAACAGGAACCAGCCAACAGTATCTGAGGTGTTCGCTAAAATGACAAAGTACAAGTGAGTGAAAGATTGAAGCAGTCCTCTGACTGCCTGGACCTGCTGTCTCGAGCACATGGCTGTGAGTGCGTCTGTGTCTGTGTGGTCATGTGATGTGCATTTTCAAAGGTAGTGAGGAAGGAGGGCTGCTCAGAAATGCTACTGTGGATGTCAAATTGTTGTCGTTCTAAAATGCCATTTAAAAACAAAGACAGTGTAAACAGGGCCTGAGTGTGTACTTTTCGCGAGCGGATTTGCAACGGGGGCGGGTGGAGGATCACGATGCCGGTGTTGTCTATCGGACGAACCGTACGTAATACGTACATAGCAGAGCTTGCAAAACTGTGTTTTTTTGTCGACAACACGAACGTTGTCAACATCACTCACTGGAAATCCAAAATGCTTCCACACCTGCGACTTC